AAAGTTGGGTAACCTTACACACACACTCACAATGAATGTGTTGTTTGTCTACCTTAATCACATTAAGATCCACATATGAAGTATCCCACATCAAGGCCATACGACCACCATCAATTAAGTCAAAGTTAGTAGTAGAAGACCAATGAGGCCATCTATACTTTCTAAGGTTTTCAAAATTAAGAGAAGACATCTTAGTTTCAAGCAAACAACAAATATGTACATGATTAACACGCAAAAAGTTAGAGATAAAAGATTGTTTTGAGACCTTATTTAGGCCTCTAATATTCCATGCCGTAATGATCATAAAACAGTTGGGTTGGTGTCACCATCCTCCTTAAGCTTCTTACGCCTTCCTTTCCATTGCCTCCTCTTCCATGTGTTCCCTTGAAGGCCATTGTCGCTAAAGTACCTACCAAGGAAGAGGTGATGTATATGACGCATAAAGAAAGAGTTAAAAGCATACCCATCCTCCGTTGTGATTACTCCGGGCAGTCCTTCTAGGCATTGCTTGGTGAAAGTGATCCTCGGTGCATCCAAGTCATCCGTGACCTCAAGGCAATTGTCTAGCCTCACAAGTTTTTCTTCCGGGCGCATGGTTTCCGCTAGCTCCATCATGTGAACCGTATGTAGGTCTGGTGGTTCCCCTTCCTTGAAGTCAACCTTGATAACAACATCATCATGATAGCTATCTCTAATGTCATTGATAACAATGACCTCTAGTTCTTGGTTTTCCTTGTCTTCCTCCATGATTTTGTCAAGCTCCTCTACAAGTTCCTTTACAAACTCTCCTTCCATTTGGCTTTCTTCATTGTGTATGGTCACGGCCAGAGGGGTTTCCTCCAAAGAAGTGGCTGCATCTTCAATGATTTCCCCCTCCTCCCTTTCCATGTCCTTATCCACGGGCTCTTCTTGAGTGTGGTTGGTGGTGTCGGCTTTAGGGTGTACCTCACGATAGCAAATATTCTTTGCCTTGATAGAGTATATTTGCCTACTTTGTTCTTGGACTTTGTACATGGTATTCTTCCTTGGCTCTTGGGGAGGTTGATTTGCCTCTCTTTCCTTCCTTTCAAGCTCATGAAGAATTTTGCATGTAAAGGGGTGATGGCCGAATGCTTTGCAATGAAAGCAATAGTTTGGAAAGCTTTCATAAACCACTCCTTGGCTATAGATCTTTCCATTAGGAAGCTTAACATCAAATTGAAGAGGGGGGGGGGGGGGGGGGGTTAGCCGCATCTACTTCAATAAGGACTCTAGCATAGGAAGATCTAGCTTTGTCTTGTGTCACCTTATCCGTAGCTAGGGGTTTGCCCACTCTTGATGCCACGGCACTTATAATGTCCTCCTTCCAAGCTCTCATAGGAAGTCCATGAAATTTGACCCATATTGGCACCTTAAGGAACTCATCACTATGTGTGGAAAAGTCATCATCAAGTACCTTCAAGTAGCACATTCTACCATAGATGGAATGAGGTCCATCTAGGAGAACTTTATCTCTATCAACCTCTCTTTGGAATTTAAAAATGATCCATTCCTTGCTATGTGGCCGGGCTTTACAAGGAACTCCCCATTTTTGAACCATTGCATTCACGGCTTTGGGACCGGGAAATGTTCCAACAAAGTAGCCTACCAATAAATGTCCCCAAAGATCCACAATTGATGGAAAAGTGTAGGTAGAAAGGTCCACCATATCCCCGGTAGGTGGGATATAAGTGAGTTTCATCCCTTGGGATGGTTCCCTATTGTTAGCAAAGAGTGAAGTCCACGGCTTAGGAGCTTGGGCTGCCTTCATGGAAGAAGAAGTGGAGGCTACATCAATTTTGGATTTGTCCTTATATCTCCCCAAAGCCCTTAGGTATATGTCATCTTCATCATTTTGTTCCTCTTCTATGATCACAATATTTTTTCCCTTATCTTTGTCACTTTGCTGACCTAAACCCGAGAGTGTGTCATCCTTGATGGGTGGAATAGGATCAGCATTAATGGGGCTGACATCCATAGTAGTTTGGCCATCAATGCCCCCCTCCAAAACAGTCATGGGGGTATCATTAATCTCCATGGTCACATTATCATCTTTTGGCATGTCATTAATGATTTGTTGTGCCACATCCATGGTTTCGGCCTCATTAATAGGTGATGGAGGGACCTCATTAATGAGACCAACCCCCACGGTTTCATGATCAATACCCTCAGCCAAAACAGTTTGTGAATTGTCATTGTCCTCAACACATAAAACATCCATCCGTAGGGGTTCAATCAAAGGAGAAGTACCTTTAACTTCTTCATGGGCTGCCAAGGAGACATCCCCCTCCTTTGTGGTCTTTTTCTTCTTCTTAGCTGCTGTCTTTGCTCGACAGGCCCCCTGCCCTTTGTCCCCACTCTCAATGAATTCAAGGGATATGTCAACTTCTTCTTGGTGCAAACGCTCCAAATGTTGGAGTTGGAGCTCTTTCTTGGTCTTCATTTTGTCTTTACCGGTCATAGGGGCTACGGGAGAAGCCACCTTCCCCACCTTCCTTGTGTTGACCATAGCAAAGGGAGCTAAGAGACAAGGAGAGGGGAGTAGAAGTTCATAAAAGAGGGGTTAAGAGGGAAACCCCCCTCAAAAAGAGAGTAGAAACCTTCACCAACTTCACCTCGTCCAAGAACTTTGTGTCCGTACCAATGGAGGAAGAACTGTCCGTACCAACGGTCAAAATTGATAGTGTACGGCCTTGATTGATGATGCTAAGATTAGAGAGTGTTGTGCGCCCAAGGAAGACGAAGCTCAACCCATATCCAGAATCACCATAGCCCAAGAGAAGCCAAAGAAATCAAAGAAAATGTGATTTGCGAAAGTGAATAGTAACTCTAGCGAACCAGCTCAAGAACTCCCCCAAAACTTGGATTTGGAGCTCAAAATTTAAAGATAATTCACCCCTTAACGAAAGGAAGTGAATTACAGTTAAAATCCAAGCTCAAAACACCAAAATCAAGGGGAAGAAACGAGAGGAAAACTGAATCGCGGAAGAGGGAGGAGTGTACAGAATTTCGTAGAGAGAAGGAGCAGCTAACGGAAAAAAAAATTCTTCGGGCGCTGGTTTCAAAATATCAAGGGATGATTGCCTAATTACTAAAATACACTGTATTTACGCTAAAAGTGCTCTATTTTCTCTGAAAACGCTAAATCATAGAGATTAGGCTAAGTATTTGTGACACTCATATCTTGCTGTGTGTTTATCCGTTTGGAGCGTACTATATCTCGTTGGAAAGATAGATATGAGCTATAAAGCTATTGTCAAACTTCATTTACAATGGATTAATTAAAAGTTACAGATTAACCATATATTCACAAATGTTTCTGATTTCACTCCGAACTCGTGTAGAATTTGATGTGATCATATCTTACTCTATTTTGTGACGTTGAAAACGTCGAATATGTAGTTGGAAAGATCTTACCTAGTTCTAAAACTTGTCTTCAGGCGCTGGTTTTAAAATATCAAGGGATGATTGCCTAATTACTAAAATACACTGTATTTACGCTAAAAGTGATCTATTTTCGCTGAAAATGCTAAATCATAGAGATAAGGCTAAGTATTTGTGACACTCATATCTTGCTGTGTGTTTATCCGTTTGGAGCGTATTATATCTCGTTGGAAAGATAGATCGAAGCTCTAAAGCTATTGTTCCAACTTCATTTACAATGCATTAATTAAAAGTTACAGATTAACCATATATTCACAAATGTTTCTGATTTCACTCCGAACTCGTGTAGAATTTGATGCGATCATATCTTTCTCAATTTTGTGCCGTTGAAAGCGTTTAATATCTCGTTGGAAAGATCTTACCGACTTATAAAACTTGTCTTCAGGATCTGGTTTGAAAATATCAAGGGAGCATTTCCTAATTACTAAAATACACTGTACTTACGCTAAAAGTGCTCTATTTTCGCTGAAAACGCTAAATCATAGAGATAAGGCTAAGTATTTGTGACACTCATATCTTGCTGTGTGTTTATCCGTTTGGATCGTATTATATATCGTTGGAAAGATAGATCGGAGCTCTAAAACTATTGTTCCAACTTCATTTACAATGCATTAGTTAAAAGTTACATATTAACCATATATTCACAAATGTTTATGATTTCACTCCGAACTCGTGTAAAATTTGATGCGATCATATCTTACTCTTTGTTGTGCCGTTGAAAGCGTTTAATATCTCGTTTGAAAGATCTTACCTAGTTCTAAAACTTGTCTTCAGGCGCCGGTTTCAAAAAATCAAGTGATTATTTCCTAATTACTAAAGTACACTGTATTTACGCTAAAAGTGCTCTATTTTAGCTGAAAACGCTAAATCATAGAGATAAGGCAAAGTATTTGTGACACTTATATCCTGCTGTGTGTTTATCCGTTTGGGGCGTATTATATCTCGTTGGAAAGATAGATCTGAACTCTAAAGCTATTGTTCCAACTTCATTTACAATGCATTAATTAAAAGTTACAGATTAACCATATATAAACAAATGTTTCTGATTTCACTTTGAACTCGTGTAGAATTTGATGCGATCATATATTGCTCTATTTTGTGCCATTGAAAGCGTTTAATATCTCGTTAGAAAGATCTTACCAAGTTCTAAAACTTGTCTTCAGGCGCTGGTTTCAAAATATGAAGGAATGATTTCCTAATTACTAAAATACACTGTATTTACGCTATAAGTGCTCTATTTTCGCTGAAAACGCCTAATCGTAGAAATAAGGCTAAGTATTTGTGACACTCATATCTTGCTGTGTGTTTATCCGTTTGGAGCGTATTATATCTCATTGGAAAGATAGATCGGAGATCTAAATCTATTGGTCAACCTTAATTTACAATGCATTAATTAAAAGTTACAGATTAACCATATATTCACAAATGTTTCTGATTTCACTCTGAACTCGTGTAGAATTTGATGCGATCATATCTTGCTCTATTTTGTGCCGTTGAAAGCATTTAATATCTCGTTGGAAAGATCTTACCGAGTTCTATTTTTTTTTTTGGATAAAATGTAAATATATATATCCAGAAAAATAGCATAGTACAATGCATCACAAATACAATCAAAGTGCATATCCACAAACTCGGGATACCACAAAATCAAGAACAAAAATCTCACAAATCAACAATTTGGATCCCAAAACATAAGGAACCAAATACGCTCACAGAAGACCTCCCCAATCAACATAATAATCCTAGAAAGCTAGGAGCAAAGGCAACATCAACAAAGAAGTAATTTAAAAGCCAAGGAAAAATCGGAAAGGTTTAGTGAACTTCGAATCAAAGTGAACCTCCCCTTTCCTCTTTGTAACACCCGGCAAGCCCTCAAGACATTCAACGGTAAAAGTGAGACCCTTCTTATCCAAATCATCCGTAAGTCGAAGGAGGTTGTCCACTCGAATCACATTAGTATGCACGGATTTAAAAGGTTTGACACACAACTTGAGTGTCTTGCCGTTTATCACTTCACATTTTATAACAACATCATCTAGCTTCACATATTTTTTATCCAAGACTATCCTCTCAACACCACCCAAAGAATCTTTTCCATCTTCAGAAAAAATACCTGCATTATCTGCTGGAACACGGGGAGCAGCCTGCTGCTTAAGCCCGGTCGGGTGAGGAGATGGCCCGGTCGGGTCTCCCCCCTGGGCAGGCTGTGACCCAGTCGGGCAAGGAAGCAGCCCGGTCGGGCTTTGCCTCCGGGTAGATTCTGGCCGAGCAGATTTTGCTACATCACTTACAACCCCTACCACATCAAGTTTTTCCTTCTCCTTGTTTACCCCAACCCCACATTTTGATAACTTCTTACAAATGAACGGGTGATGCCCAAATTCCTTGCAATGAAAACAATAACTAGGAAAAGTTTCATAAACCACACTTTGCTTGAATACCTTTTGTGAAGGTAGTCGTATAGGAAACGAGAGTGGTGGTGGCTTCGAGACGTCAACCTCTATCAACACTCTAGCATAGTCGTTGTTAATCCTTTCTTGGGTGATTTTATCCGTTGTTATTGGAATCCCAACCATGGAAGCCACCTCACTCATGGCATCGTCATTCCATAATTGCAAAGTTAAATCATGGAACTTAACCCAAATTGGTACTTTTAGAAATTCTTCATCCTCAAACGAAAAATTTTCCGAAAGTACCTTGAGCATTATTAGTTTTCCAAACACAGTATACGGTCCTCCTTGAAGTACCTTTGATCTATCCTCCTCACTTTGAAATTTAAAGATCAACCAACCCTTTTTGTGGGACCTCACAAGGCATTTAACACCCCATTTAGCTTTAAGGTCATGCACCGCTTTGAGTCCGGGGAAATTCCCGGCGAAGTGTCCAACTAGGCAAAAACCCCACATTTCAACCATGGATGGTAGCACCCGATCCCCAAAATCTAAAGTTTCTCCTTTGGGAGGGATATATCTCAATTTTATACCACACCTGGGATCGCGGTTGTCTTTAAACAAAGCATTCCAAGGTGAGGAAGTTGCTGCCTTTGCAGTTGATTTTGCACCTGCAATTATTTGGCCTTCATTTACTGCTGCAGCAGGATTACCCGCAGCAATAACTCCACCTTTGGCTGCCTTTTCACTCTCAGATTGAGCCTTACCCACAGCAGGAGTAACTGCCTTAGCAGTACCTGTAGCATTCATAGGACCTGCCAAATTTGCAGCAGTTTGATGCCCAGGTTTCCTAGCAGCAGTAGTACTTGAAGCACTTGTTTTCAGCATCACACTACCTGCTGGCAGATTCCCAGCAGTTTCTACAGCTAGAGTTTTGTCAACCTTCAAAGTATTTCCCACATCTTGAACTGCCAGAATCCCAGGAAGCTCTGTTGGAATTCCAATTTCTTCAGCTTGTAGCACAGGAACATCAATAGTAGCAGGTTCAATCCCAGGCCTATTGACAGCAGAAATAAGCTCTGGAAATTCCTCATCTGTTCCTTGAAAAAGCGCAAACCTTTGGGAAGACCTGGTCTTTGTTGAGGAGACCGCAGCCCCACCCTGTTTTTTCCTCGCCATGGTCAGAAGCTGTGGCTCAAAGAATAGCACAACTTTATGTTGAGGAAACCCCAGCCGTAGAGTCAGCTCCCCTCAACTTCCACAAAAAGGTTACAACGCTACACCACCAGACGGCGAGCCCAAACAACACTCCAATTACAGAAAAACAACAAACAGATACAAATCACACAAAGCCCTGTACCAGTTCGTTACTGAATTTTCTGTTCAAAAATCATCATTCCAAGAACATATCCAAGGTCGGAAATGCAGTCAGATGTGGATTTCGACTCAGAATCATCCAAAAGACATGAAAGAAAAACTCAAATCGAACTAAAATCCGTCGTAGCGTGAACAGTAATTAGACGCACTGCAATAGTTCAAATCTGGGTTTTCTGGCCGTCAATCATCATTGTAATTCCAAATCCAAGCATAGAATTGGAACTAGAGGAGAAATCCGACCTAGAAACACCAAGAAATTCAATCATAAGTGAAGAATCGAACCAACCGTAAGTTCCATAGCGCAAAAGAGCTGGGCGATAGATTTTCCCAGGAGAGAGAAGCTCTCAACTTTTGCTTATCTTACCGAGTTCTAAAACTTGTCTTCAGGCGCTGGTTTCAAAATATCAAAGGATGATTTCCTAATTACTAAAGTACAGTGTATTTTCGCTAAAAGTGCTATATTTTCGCTGAAAACGCTAAATCATAGAGATAAGGCTAAGTATTTGTGACACTCATATCTTTCTGTGTGTTTATCCGTTTGGAGCGTATTATATCTCGTTGGAAAGATAGATCGGAGATCTAAAGATATTGTTCCAACTTCATTTACAATGTATTATTTAAAAGTTACAGATTAACCATATATTCACAAATGTTTCTGATTTCACTCCGAACTCGTGTCGAATGTGATGCGATCATATCATGCTCTATTTTGTACCGTTGAAACCGTTTAATATCTCGTTCGAAAGATCTTACCGAGTTCTAAAACTTGTCTTCAGTCTCTGGTTTCAGAATATCAAGGGATGATTGCCTAATTACTAAAAGACACTGTATTTACGCTAAAAGTGCTCTATTTTCGCTGAAAACGCTAAATCATAGAGATAAGGCTATGTATTTGTGACACTCATATCTTGCTGTGTGTTTATCCGTTTGGAGCGTATTATATCTCGTTGGAAAGATATATCGGAGTTCTAAAGCTATTGTTCTAACTTCATTTACAATGCATTAATTAAAAGTTACAGATTAACCAGATATTCACAAATGTTTCTGATTTCACTCCGAACTCGTGTAGAATTTGATGCGATCATATCTTGCTCTATTTTGTGCCATTGAAAGCATTTAATATCTAGTTGGAAAGATCTTACTGAGTTCTAAAACATGTCTTTGGGCGCTGGTTTCAAAATATCAAGGGATGATTGCCTAATTACTAAAATAAACTTTATTTACGCTAACAGTGCTCTATTTTCGCTGAAAACGCTAAATCATAGAGATAAGGCTAAGTATTTGTTACACTCATATCTTGCTGTGTGTTTAACCGTTTGGAGCGTATTATATCTCGTTGGAGAGATAGATCGGAGCTAATCTATATATAGTAAAACAGAAAAGTCTAGGGGAGGATTTGGGGAAGAATGGGCGGGAAAAAACGTAGCATAAAAATGCAGTGGGGGTATGGGCAGCTAATAATTGCAGCATAGAAGAATTAAACGTAACTATTGAACTTCTTAATGTCTTTTGTTGTTCGACAATTGTGAAAATATAAATGTGTTGTCAATTTTTAATTAGTCTTTTGAACTTTCTAGGATGTCTCTAGAAAAGTGCTAGCAACGATTAATTAGAAGGGCTGATTAAAACGTGTGGCTGCAAATGAGGTGGTTTTGAGATTTTTGAGGTGCCTTTTGGTCTTCCCAAAAATGTGCATCATAAGTTCAACATTAAATAGGTGCCAAGTGTTACAATGTTTGCTATAATAAATAGGGAAGAGATTAATCCGTATGAATCACAAGCTATGTATTATACGCAGTATATTCTACCTCCTTCCCATAAAATTCTTCCCACTTTGACTTGGCACGAAGATTAAAAAAATGGAATAAAGTGGAAATGTATGGTTGCGGTTATGTAAGAAAAAAGGTGAAATGAATGTGAACCACACAAATTGTCCAAAAATGGTAAGTGGGAAGAATATTTTGGGATGACCCAAAAAGGAAAGTGAGAAGAATTTTATGGGACGGATGGAGTATATAATACTCCGTAATAATAATAACAAAATAGTGGAAGGGAAGTTTGGGCTGGAAAACTGTAGCACTTTAAATATTTATTTAGTTTAGATCGAAGTTATCAAAAGGATTATGTCATAGAGCCCGTTTGGTAACATTAAAATTGGCTGAATTGGCTGATTCTGCTGAAATTTATGATGTTCTGGCTGAAGTGGCTGTATTGGCTGATTTTGCTGATTTATGAAAAAATTATGTTTAAAATATTTGTTATTAATAAATTAAACAAAAAATTATATGAAAAATAGAAAAAATGATCCTCTACAGTAACTTCAGCCAATACAGCCATAAACGTAACTCTAACCATACTTTTTCAGCTTATTACAAAATTCAACGCGCGAAATCAAAAGTTAAGTGTTTGGTGAAAAAACTGGCTGATAAGCCTGATAAGCCGAAAAAAGGGGTCACCAAACGGGCTCATAATGTTTTTCGTAGTTGATGAAAAAAATGATGACTAGAAATTAATAAGGTGTACCTTAATCTCTATAACTGTAAATAATGTCAAGAGATGTGTCGCTTGGCGGCAAAAATTAACAGAGAAATCAAGACATTGGGCGGCCAAACACTCACATGACTCAAGAAAAAAATGATGCCGAGAGAGACATTAGGCGGCCAAGCAATAATGGCTCAATTTTAACAGAGATGTAATCCTTATAAAAAGCCCATAGTTATATCCCTACATGCACTCTAGATATTTGCCGAGCTACAAATGGAAGGTAAGAAAAAATTTAACAACTGTGTGTTTTTTATTTTTTGCATCAGAGTTTCAGGAGTTCTCTTACTTCGCTTCTTTAACTAATTAAATTCCTTGATTGCATATTTACAGATGCCCCAGTTTTGGTGTTGCGAGAGATGTTTCATACTTGCATCGCGAAAAACAATGCTACCGGCGAAGTCAAAAGTCAAAAGTTTATTAGTTTAATAAAAATAAATAATACTGAAAATCATTAAAATAAAAAGAATAATAAAATTCAAGACAACTTAGATCTAAGATTGTTAGTTTTCAAACATTCAGATCCTAAATTGAAAGTTTTCTATCATTCGTGTTCTATATCGATACATTTCATTTCCAGGTTCCGAATTGATAATTCGTCTATCTTTCAACTCCTGAATTGATAAATTTTCTTTTAGATATTAATGGATGATTACTAATAGTAGCAATATTTAAAAAAAATTGCATTAATCTTTCAACAAAAGGAATATATTAAAATAAACAATTTTGAAAATTGAAGTTAACACTACCTCTGCCCCATTCAAAGGTTTCAATTGCAAAATGAGATGATTGTTTAGACAATGATTAAAACAATTTTTTTAAAATAAAAAAATAATAAATAGTGAAAAAAATAATTTAAAGAAAACTTTAAAGGGAATTAAAACCAGATAGCACATTAATAATTGTTTAAACTTTCTTTTAATTTTGTCACTATATTTTTATAAATTGAAATACCTTTTTTTTTATTTATCTTCTTTATTATAATGTAAAATATGATTATCCTATTAAGTTATGGTAAGGGTAGAAATGTAAAATAAAAAGATAGACGGTATTTTGGTCCTATTTTGAAAAGATAAATAACATAGTCTTATTTGTGCATTTCGGGATTAGTTTAGTCCTATTTTGAGGCTATTTCTCAAATATATATTAGTGGTAAAATAAAGGTAAGAAAAGGAAAAACAAAATAAATAAGTGTAAGTAAAAAGAAAAAAAGTTAAAAGTTAGTACGGTGAGAAAAAGTTCTTTTATAAGAAAACTAATCCAAAAATATATATAAATATGAAAATGAAATAATAAACGGGAAGAAGAAAAAGGAGAAATGGAATACATAAACATTGAAAAAAAGAATAAAATAAATTGAAAAGTAGTAAAATAAGAAAAAGAAGACCAAAAAGGGGAATAAAAGAGTCAAGACGATAAAAAAGGAAAAAAATTTAGGAAGAAAAAAGAAAAATGATACATGGGACCGCTTGGAGAAGATTTGTGGAAGGTGGGATTTATGGTTGAATGATTTTCAAAGAAAATGAAAAAACCTGGAATAGCAGGTCATCAACTGGTCAGGGACCAACGAATGAAGATGTGGTGTAGGGGTTGCATTATTATTCATGAATAACGATAAGATGAGACTATTGTAAAAAGGCCGCTAAAAGGGTTCACTTTCATTGTCAGAAACACCTTTCGATGGGTAAAATCAATTTATAAAAATTTCCATTTTTAAAATATACTGCTCAATGTACTGCCTAATATTCCCTCATTTAATATAGAAAATACACTAATAACTTTTGAGCGACAAAATACATCTCAAACAAAAGTTTTGAGGGGATTGTGTGTAGGTGAAAAGATGTTTAATATCAAAAATATCGTTGACACGAAGTCCTTTGAGATCGTTTTTCAAGTTTCAAAGAAGACAATTTCCTCTATTTGTGTGGGAGATACAACGCGCATGTTGTCTTTTAAAAAAATGAAATTGTTGACTAAAAGACTCTTAGTATATATATCCACCAATTGGAGCGTATTATATCTCGTTGGAAAGATAGATCGGAGCTCTAAAGCTATTTTCCAACTTCATTTACAATGGATTAATTAAAAGTTAGAGATTAACCATATATTCACAAAGGTTTTTGATTTCACTCCGAACTCGTGTAGAATTTGATGCGATCATATCTTGCTCTATTTTGTGCCGTTGAAAGCGTTTAATATCTTGTTGGAGAGATCTTACCGAGTTCTAAAACTTGTCTTCAGGCGCTGGTTTCGAAATATCAAGGGATGATTGCCTAATTACTAAAATACACTGTATTTACGCTAAAAGTGCTCTATTTTCGTTGAAATTGCTAAATAATAGAGATAAGGCTAAGTATTTGTGACACTCATATCTTGCTGGGTGTTTATCCGTTTGGAGCGTATTATATCTCGTTGGAAAGATAGATCGGAGATCTAAGGATGTTTTTACTTGAACCGTAATTTGTTGGTCTGGTCTGGTCTGGTTTGTTTTGGTGTGGTTTGTTTTTCTCTAGTCTGGTCTGGTCTGGTCTGAAATTTTATTTTTTGTATTTTTTGCGTAAATATTATATATATATATAATAATAATAAGAATAATAATAATAATAATAATAATAATAATAAAATATGGTCTGGTCTGGTGTGGTCTGTTTTAGTCTGGTCTGATCTGGTTTTGTCTGGTTTCGCCTGGTTTGGTCTGTTCTGGTCTGGTCTGGTCTGGGACGAATTATAGTCCAAGTAAAAACAACCTAAAGCTATTGTTCCAACTTCATTTACAATGCATTAATTAAAATTTAAAGATTAACGATATATTCACAAATGTTTCT